GAATTAACAAAATCAAAGACTTTTCGTTCATTACGATGTTTTCTGAGCCACGCAAATAGCTTAGTGTTGATTAATTCCTTTGTTTATTCTATAGTGTGCATGCAATCAACTCTATAAGCTTGTAAATATAATCTATTACTTTGGAGAGATAAACTGTTTATTAATCAGGCCATGACGTCATAATATAAATGTTTCTTACCGTTTGATACCCAATGTCTCTTTTTCTTCAGACGAGAATCAAGTAATAGTTGATGGGTAGAGGTCACTGCTATCGTATGCCGATTACCACAGACTGGTTATATTGGTTTTAATTATTGCTATACAACACACTAAACATAGAACCCAACATTTGAAGTTATTTAACAGTATTAACAAGGGCAAATGCATAGGATAAAAAAATATGCGAGTGTTTGAAGAACAAAAAAAAACTACAACAATGTATTGTAATTTAACAAGGGTTACATAAAAACGCATAGCAAACTATATTCTTGACATATTATTATTTTGGGTATAAAGATTATTCATATACGGTACTCCCTTTTTTACACATTAGCCAGCCCATGGAATTTTTATTGGAAGAATGCGTCATAAAAAATAAAAAAGTAGGTACCTGACTAAAATTCAAAAGTAAATATCTGAAAATCCCAATTACATATTAAGTAGCTTTATTGCTTATTTACAGAATGTATTATGTGTGTAAATATTTGAACGGTATGATCATATAACCTTGTGCCCACTGACAAAAATTGAATCAAATTCTATATATATATATCTTGAATATAAAATGGAAAATGAAAAACTCAGCGTGTACGTGTAGATATATAGGCCTATATACAGAAAACAAACGATGTTCGTATGTTCATAATGCTTCATAATGCTTCATATAGGCTATGTTCATTTTTTTAGTTTATGTGTTTGAATCGTCAAAATGTACCTGCGAGTCTTCAGAATTCTGTCCTATAGGCTTTTACGAATCAATCGGGTCACGGCGCCTTGAATCGGGAAACACATCCCATGAGGACCACAGTTGCCCCTGATTCAACATACTTGAAGACACCCACCGTACAAAAGATTGTGGCAATTTACAGCCAGCACGCCGCCCCGCGATTCCGTTGTTTAGCAATAGCCTTGTACTGAATGAAATCGAATCAACTGAATTCAATTAATATCCGGTGGCTCTACTGGTGAATATTTGAAAGATACTTTAATGTAATGTCATTGTTTATCTTGAATCTAATAAAATATAGTTTTAAAATGGAAATTTTTCTCTACAAAATGTCTGTCTATATCTTCCCCTTTCGAAACCTATACACCATCATGAACATCGTCTCTGGCATTCTTTCTTTTTTCTTTTATATATTTCACCGGGTTTTGTTTCCTGTGTTTTCTTTTTCTCTTCATTTTCCCTCCACAAATGTCTTTTTTCTCCAGTGACCCACTCCGTCTTACATACAATACCACACGGAAACTAGCTGAAGATCGGACTTTCACTATAACTGCATCTAAATATTGGAATAGACTACCCTTAACCTTAATTCTCAGGCAATCACCATCTGTCCCTTCATTCAAAAAGGGACTTAAAACATTTCTTTTTTGTAATCTCGATTTTTAGGATTCTGTAAGTTTACATTTTCATTTTCTGTAGAATTCTTCTTGTTGTAAGCACTGTACGGGCACTTCTTACTCCTAAAACAAGAGGCAGCTAGGATGAAAAAAGACACTTATGAGAATGGGAAATGGGCACCTATCATAATATTTGATAGGAGCATTTATAAGAATCAAAAAGGGGCACTTACATAAAATGAAAATTTACATTAGTTGAAACAAAGGGGCATCCATCAGATTTTAATAGGGGCATTTATCGGAGATGAAAGGGGGCTTTTATGAAAAGGGGGAAGTAGCTCTTATTAATAAGAAAAAGAGGCACATGTATCAGAGATGAAAATGGGTAATTATGAGAAGGGGTAGGGGCACTTATAAGAAGGAAAATGAGCATTTATTAGAAAGGAAAAGGGGCACGTGTCAAAATAAAAGGGGGCAATTATTAGAGGTGGAAAGATTATACTCTACTCCATTGAGTAGTGGATTTATTGATATTATTAATTCGGAAATTGTTCGTTATAACAGTCTTCTGAGTGCAACATGTGACTGCTGGATAAGAAATGGGCCACCCGTAGACGATATGGTCCTGATCCCCGCCCAAGACAGCATTGTACTCAGAAACCGGAAGAAAAGTATACACCAAGAAGACACAATTTCATTTGGCATTTAGAATCCATGCATAATCAAAGAGAAGCAAAATAGAATAAAGTAGGATGTGAATGTTTAAACGTTAATTTTTTTTTTCAGGAAAAATGTCGAACCCTCCCTTAGTCAGGATATATCATGCATGGTATGGGAGGGGGGGGGGGAAACATTTTTGCCCCCCTCCAAAAAAAAAGCCACCCCTCAAAATAAAAGCAGTAAAGGAGTAAAGATGGTTGTATTTTTAACCCAAAAGAACATAACAATAATAAAAACCTGAAGTAAATCACATACCAAATTCCATTCAAAGAAAAGGAAAGTTAACGGAATTAAATTTCCTAAACATTTTATGATAGTGATACGCACATATCGTGGACATATTGTCTGTTTTTTTTTATAGGGGTGAGAAGACATGAGCCCCTGAACGCTGGGGTACTGATAGGGCGGGGGGGGGGGGGACGTTATCTCTTATTCGATACCAGTGATTTACAAATGTTGCTGAAATGACGTGATTTTCCGGTATTTTTTCTCAATTTTGTTGTAAGTCATACATTTTAATGCGTTTGTTGGAAAATTAGAGATTCCCAAATGTACAGTCGGGTGAAAAATGCTTATTTAGAAGCCTTTATGTCAGGGTCTGCAGAACGGCCGGGCTCGGGGGCTCGAGCCCCCTCACTTTTTGAAAAAGTTTGTTACAGAAAAAAAAAAGAAAGAAAGAGAAAATGAGGTATCAATATATGCTTCTCTGACCGTAATTAAATGCCTAAAACCCCAGAACTTACGGGGGCTCTGCCCCCGGACCCCACCAAGGGCCCTAAGGTTGTCCCCTGGATGCTCATCTCACCGTAATCATATACCTAAAACCCCTGAGTTTCGGGGGGCTCTGCCCCCTGGACCACATCAATGGGCTTAAAGAGGGCCCCTGGATGCTCATCTAACCGTAAATAAATACCTAAAACCCCCGAGCTTCCGGGGGCTCTGCTCCCTGGACTCACCGCCTGCCAGTGTCACAAATAAGGTATCTAAATATGCTTATCTGACCGTAATTTAATGCCTAAAACCCTGAGCTTCTTGGGGCTAAGCTCGTTGACCCCCTCAGGCCCTGCCCCCCGGCAATTTACACTCTACCTGATCGTTAATACTCCACTTTGAAAAACGTTCCGCGGGGCCTGCATGTAACGTGTAAGAGTGGTTGTGATGCAGATTTTTCTTCTGCCCCCCCCCCTCCAAACGTTTTTGCTCATTACGTCATTGCCCCTGGATGATGAGCCCCCTGGAATGTTTGCCCCAAAATCCCAAACTGCTTCCGGCGTGCCTGGGAGGGGTTGCAACCTGCCACACGCTTCTACCCTTTGGTTGCTTTGATCCATTGCCGAAAGTATTTTGGCACCTATCACCCCCCCCCCCAAACCACAGATAAAAATCGACACCCTTGGGTGGGAGGTTTCTGTGTGTGATTAGTATCAAGTATCATGTATCAAGTTTATTTGTCTTCTAGAAAACACATGTGACAAAATATAATCATAACAGTACAATGTAGAATAGAGAAAGACGAGGAGACCTTGGTTGAAGCACAGCTTGTTAAGGCCCCTTCATATGATGTGACAAAGATAACTGATTCATGAATACAACAACAAATATGGAATAAATAAAACTATTTACAAAATACTCTCAGAGAACAACTACCCAACGATGCATCGACCACAACATGGATGACTACAACAAGTATACCTGAAGATGCACACATCCACATCACACCGGGTGAGCTAACAAACTCACCGTGTGTGTGAAAAAATGTATCATAATTGAGCAAAAATCAACCCACCCATGGGAGGGCGATCTACTGTGGACCAACCCAAGCTGACACCAAATCGAGACATTAATGAGTTATTGCTCTCTGAGTACAGAGGTCAAGAACGACAAGTAGGAATATATGGTATTAGTGCGTGTATTTATTGGCGGTTTGCCAGGAAGGGGACATGGTCCCATGATCCTGAAATCCTGTAATCATGTGATCATGTGATCATGTGATTATGACGGATGCAATTATGTAAATATATTATGAGTCATACAGTGTACATATAGTTGGCCCATTTAGTAGCAGGCCCTAATAACTTTGACTACACACGTTGCATTTTGAAGTGAGTTGTGCTGTTGTATGTGGGTAAATATACGAATATTATGTTCACTTATAATAATATACTGTTAAGATAAAGGGAGAGCATCATCGTGAATGTTTGTCATTACAAAATAGCACATGATTAGAGGGTGATACAAAGTGATAATGGCTGCCGCAGCAAAAGCTAGGTGTATAATGTTTGCAAAGCTCTTTGGAAGCGCTTGGAGACTTTATATCATAATGTGTTATGCGCTATCGAACGGGCTATTATTATCATTATATCTGACAACTGTTTGATCTTGTCAGTTTTAGGATGAAATTTTGAGCACGCAACAAATGACGCAAGTACTAGGATTTTACACATATACATATAATATCATGTATTCATGCTTAAGAGCAAATAGCCTGGATAACGTTTTTATCTTACTTGACTTCTTGGTTCTGTTAATGACGTAATCGTCTTTTATCCAAAAGATCATGGGTTGAAACCAAATCGATGATACGATTATAATGCCCTTTTGGAAAGGCATGATTCCTCAATTTCACACTTTTGGGATTTGAAAAACAGGTTCCCCTGGACGGTTGAACGTTACCAATCAACAAACCGTGCTTTCTCTATAATTATCCACAGGTCAGAATATATCAAAAACATGGCATTCTCTAAGCAGCAAGATACGTCTGGGCAACTGGTCCAGCTTTCAAGTGCGAACATCGGATTCGCCCTGGATCTCTATCAAACTCTTCAAGATGAACGGAGAGGTAAAAATATGTTCTTCTCCCCTCTCAGCATATCAACCGCTCTGGCTATGACACAGCTAGGAGCCCGAGGTGATACAGCAACTCAAATCGCTGATGTCTTCCGTTTCAATCAGATAGACCCAGATCAACTTCATGGAACATTCAAAGAGCTAAAAAACTTGCTTTACCAAACAAATTACGATTCTCAAATTCATTGCGCGTACAGGCTATAATGGCAAATCTGGCTACAACTTCGTACAGCCATTTCTTGAAGGAACTGCTTCCTATTATGGAGCAGCCATAGAGGCGGTAAATAACTTTGCATCTCCAATTGCCACTCAATCAATCAATGATTGGGTTTCAAAGCAGACCGAGGGTAAAATCAAAAACCTGATTGCTCCTGGAATCCTAAATGATCTCACAAGCCTTGTCCTGGTGAATGCCATTTATTTCAAGGCGAACTGGAAATCGACATTTCGTGCCTACAATACTACACAGGATACATTCAAGGTTTTCGATGAGAGAAAGAACGTTCCGGCGAGTCTTATGAGTCAAGAGGAAAGATTTTATTTGGCTGTTGACAAAACCAATGACTGTCTTGTGCTAGAGATGCCTTATCAAGGCAACAATCTGAGTCTATTGATTGCTCTTCCCACCAAAGATGATGGCCTTGGTCAACTTGAGACGAAGCTCTCAGTGGACGTCCTGCAATCCTGGGACGCAGGGCTCGAATGGAGAGAAGTGGACGTACTATTACCAAAGTTCAAAGTAGAAGCAACATTCCAACTGAAGGAGGTTTTGCAACGAATGGGAATGCCCGACGCTTTTGATGAGGATAGGGCTAACTTCAAAGGCATCTCAAGTGAAGAAAAAGAGTTTTACATCTCTGCCGTCATCCACAAGGCCTTTGTTGATATCAATGAGGAAGGGAGTGAGGCAGCTGCTGCAACGGCTGTTGATTGATTGATTGATTTTTTTTGACTGATTTTTATTTTTCATGCAAAACATAATACAAAAATAATTATATCACAACAAATATGTAATGAAACGAAAAATATAGTGGAAATAGCACGAGAAAAGAGGAACTAACTTGAAGCAGAGCTTGTTGAAGTGTTAGTTCCTCAGATGCAAATTTTACAATAAAACATGAACAAAGTATGCTTATAGATCAATAAATAGACAATATGTAGCTAGGAAGAAGGAAAAAAAAGAGAAAAAAATGAGGATGAAAAAGAAAAGAAAAGAAAAAAAAATGAATGGAGGAAAATAGTAGAAGACAAAAACAAAAGCTCTAGAAAAGGGAGATTGAGAAAGAGATTGAGTCGAGAGTCAAACAAACCGAGATTCTATCATGTACATCTATATGTGTCTAAAAGTTTAGTCTTTAACTTTTAAAAAAAAATGCATAGACTAATATTTTGTTTAAGAGATGGATCTATGTTATTCCAATATACTGGACCGGTGTAAATAATTGCCTTTTGTGCGAAAGCTGTTCTCATTCGAGGAGTGTGGAAGTGATTCGACTGTCTTGTGGGGTATGAATGTATCTCGTTATTTTTTTGGAAAATGGAGGAAATCGGGAGAGGTAACTTGTATTAATCAGCTGGAACATAAAGATACCGAGGTACCAGGAATACGTGTCTTTAATTTTAAGAATTTTGTCTTGTTGAGATGAGGGGAAGGGGATGCGCTCGACCAAGCGAACGTGAGAAGCCGATCCTGTTTCGAGCAGACCATACATTTCTCTTCATGATTCGTCACCGGTCGACAAAATCGGTCCTGTTCATGGGACGAATGATGGATCCCTCCTATCGCCAGGTCCATGTTTTAAAAATAATTACATTTGTCTGTTTGGGCAGTTTAATCGAATAAACAAAATCAAAGACTTTTCGTTCATTACGACGTTTTCTGAGCAATGCGAATAGCTTAGTGTTGAGTTATTACTTGATATATTCTATATTGTGCATGCAACCCGGCCCCCCCCCCCCCCACTCAGGGGTCGGAATGACCGCATGCGTGTTGCCAAAATGTCCGGTAAAGGGGTATTTTTCGTGCGACAAAGTCCGGCCCGAGAATTGTAAAAAAAGGGGTGAATTTGATTTTTCACCTTGAGATTTCTTTGAAAAGGGGGTGTTTTTTCTTTTTTTCTCTCATCTTTTTGGACTCCTAAAAAAATTATTCCGAATTTAGGGGGGGGGGGGGGTACATTGAGCATTTTTCCTGATTTAGGGGGGTCTCCAAGGCAGCAAAAGCCCGCGAAAAGCCCGCGAAAGGGGGGTTCGAAAATGTTGGCAGTCCTCAGATAGGGGGTGCTTTCAAAAAGAGGGAACGAGCATATGCGTACCCTAAATAACACTGAGTGGGGGGGGGGGCGGGGCATGCAATCAACAAATCTTTTTGGGATGAACTCTATAAGCTTGTAAACATAATCTATTACTTTTGAGAGATAAACTGTTTATTAATCAGGCCATAGGTTTTGATACACATTGTCTCCTTTTCTTCAGACGAGAATCAAGTAATCGTTGATGGGTAGAGGTCACTGCTATCGTATGCCGATTACCACAGACTGGTTATATTGGTTTTAATTATTGCTATACAACACACTGAACAAAGAACCCACAATTTGAATTTATTCAACAGTATTAACAAGGGAAAATGCGTATGATTGAGACAACAATATTGTATTGAAATTTAACAACTATGGGAATACATAACGAGTGCATAGCAAACTTCATTAGATTACTAATATACGGTACTCCCTTTCTTCCACATCAGCCAGCCCATAGAATTTTAATTAAAAGAATGCGTGAATCCAACCCTTTTCCTCTTCAGCGTATCCAAAATGCTGCCGCTCGTCTAGTTACCCGCTCAAGACCTTATGAACATATTACTCCAATCCTCCGCAATCTCCACTGGCTGCCAGTTATTCAACGTATCCAATTTAACATTCTTCTCCTTGCCTTTAAAATCCGTAACGGTGAATGCCCCACGTACTTTTCCAGTCTCGTAAAATCCAAACCCCCCTCCTCCAGGTTGCGTGTTCAACTTCCTCTTACTTTCAACTAATTCCTGGCCCTCGTGTAAAAACAAGATACGGTGATAGAGCACTTTCTGTAGCCGCCCCCAGTTGTGGAATAGCCTCCCGTCCTACATCCAAAATGCTCTTTCTATATCAACTTTCAAATTAATGTTAAAAACCCATCTGTTCAAATCCATATCATGAATTTTGTCTTCTCTAAACATGTCAAATAAATAAATGATGTCATAGTACTAGTTGTTATGAAATAAGTCATCTTTAGCACAATTTAAGTTAGATTAATTTGATTCATTCATTTATCTGTAACAAACCCTTAATTTTGTAGCGTAATATAGCGTAACATACTGTAATTTTGTACTGAATAATATTGTGTAATCGTGGTGCTGTCGTCCCGGATTTTATTTCGTGTAAGGACATTGCTGCTGGGACAACAGCACCATAGCGCCTAGAAACAATGTATTAGGCGCGTTATAAATGTGATCTATTATTATTATTATTATTATAAACAAATAAAAAAGTAGATACCTGACTAAAATTCAAAAGTAATTACCTGACGATCCTATTTACATATTAAGTAGCTTTGTTGAATTTGATACTTTATTGCTCATTATACAGAATTTATTAAGTGTGTAATTATTTGAAAGGTATGATCATTGAACCTAGTACCCACTGACAAAAATTAAATCAAATTATACACATTTTGTATCTTGAATATATATATCATATCATGGAAGAATGAAAAATCAGCGTGTACTTGAAGATATACCGAAACAAGCGTCCATATGTTCATAAAGCTTCGTATATGATCATTTATTAGTTTATGTGTTTGAATCGTGAACATGTACCTGCGAGTCTTAGGACTTTTGTCCTATAAGCTTCTACTAATCAGTCGGGTCACGGCGCCTGGAATCGGGAAACACATCCCATGAGGACCACAGTTGCCCCTGATTCAACATACTTGAAGACACCGTACAAAAGATTGTGGCATTTTTCAGCCAGCACGCCGCCCCGCGATCCTGCTGTTTAGCAATAGCCTTGTAGGCATGTACAATTAAAGTATTATGAACTGAATGAAATCGAATCAACTGAATTCAATTAATATCCGGTCGCTCTACTGGTAAATATTTGAAAGATACTTGAATGTAATGTCATTGTTTATCTTGAATCTAATAAAATGTAGTTTTAAAATGGAAATTTTTCTCTACGAAATGTCTGTCTGTATCTTCCCCTTTCGAAACCTAACACCACATCGTCTCTGGCATTCTTTCTTGTTTCTTATAAATATACTGTATTTCAATGGTTTTTTTCTTTGCTTTCTTTTTCTCTTCATTTTCCCTCCGTAAATGTCTTTTTTCCCTCTTAATTATTTCACTCAAGCTATTCATTTGTATGCATTTGTTTAGGATCGTAGGCAGGGGCTGCGGATTGACTTCCATCCCAATAAACAAAATCACGTGAAAATCACGTCAATATCAAGGTATCGACTTGAGGAGAGTTACGTTCTTCAAACACCGGACATTTACGTAAATGTGTTTATACGTTTATTGCACTAGGTAACTTAAAATACACGTACACTAAATCACGCAATTGTCACTGCAATATCACCATTATAATAACGTGATTATCCCTACCTTGGAGACCATGGTTTGTAAACCTAATACTCCCGTGTTTGTTTGGTTATGAAATTACATCTTCATAAACGAAATTATCGCGTCACAGAAACACGTGAAGCGTTAGTGATAGTTTTAGTCAAAATATCTGCGTGAAATTCACGTGAATATTACGAGGCTGACTTGAGATGAATCATGTTCTTCATTCACGTGAAATTTACGTCGAAGAGGAAATATGTTACTGTAACCCGCGTTCAACCCAATAATTACGCAAATGTTACACAATAAATGAACCAAAATAATGACGTTCTCATCCCGTTTCTGAACATCGTGTCTTAGATCTTCCATAATTACGTCCAGGCGTGCCGGAAGCAGTTTGGGATTAAAGGGGATGGGGGGGGGGGGGGGGGTGTAAACATCCCAGAAGAGAAAGCTAGTTGCAACTGGTCCAGTTGATGAACCAGTTAATGCCAACTGGTAACCCTGGAAATTGAATTGGGCTAAATGATCCAGGCCAGTTAGAATTCAACTGGTCTAGCTGAGCAATTAGAACAATTTGGTAAAACTTCCAACCAGTTGAACAGCAACAACACTTCAATACTGGTACGTCTGTATTTCCAATGTAAAGGCATTGGTAATAAGTAGACTTACATAATTTAATTAATCGAAATTTTTTCATATACTTGTATTTTATTGAAATTATTTAGTTCATAGTTAATGTTTCCCTTATTCATGTTTAACTAAATATAATTTATACGAAGTAGCGAAATGTCCTAATAACTGGTAATTTATATTTGTAGTATTTTCGAAATGAATTGCATATAACTAAATCATCAGTAATTAAGAAATATGCTGTAAATTCAGATAATTGTTTAAAAAACATAGATCTGCACGCACCCATATTCAATATGCAAATTAATTGGTGTCAGCTGGTTCAACTGGAAATATGCCAAAAGTCAGACATCAATTGGTGCAACTGGAAATATGCACACTCCAGTTATCAACTGGTGCAATGAAAATATGCCAACAGTCATTTATCAACTGGTGAACATAGAAATATGCCAACAGTCACGGGATTATCACCACGGAACTAAAATGGTAACTGTGAAACCATCAAGACACCCAATAATAACTCATTTTTACACCTGGGAAACACGGAATACCCAGCTTATATTAATAATCCGTTTGAGTCACGAGATCATCACCGCGGAACTGCTGGCAACTTTGACTACCATTTAAATAGGTGTTTTTAAGACACTTAATAATGACTAATTTTTCACACCTAAAAGTCACGTATGCCCAGCTTAGATTAATTATCCGTTTGAGTCACGAGATCATCACCGCGGAACTGCTGGCAACTTTGACTACCATTTAAATAGGTGTTTTAAGACACCTAATAATTACTAATTTTTCACACCTAAATATCACGGATTCACAGCTTAGATTAGTAATCAGTTTTAACTACGTGATCATCACCAAGAAAGTTATGGTAACTTTGAAACCATTTTAAAAGGTGTTTTAAGACACCTAATAATTACTTATTGTCACACCTAAATATCACGTATTCACAGCTTAGATTAGTAATCAGCGTGAGCCACGTGATCATAACCAAGAAATTTATGGTAACTTTGAAACCATTTAAAGAGGTGTGTAAGACACCTCAGAATTACTAATTTAATATAACCAGAGATTCACGGACAGAACAATAAAAGGATTAGCCGGTGTAAGTAACGTGATTATTACCATCGACCTTGGATAACCTGTGAAACCAATCGATAAGGGTGCTTATAAGACCAAATAATTACGTATTTATCACCACAATCGGTTAACGGACAAAAAACTCGTTGCTTGGTCAAGTTGTTATTTGGTCATAAACACTTGATTTACAGAGGTAAGTGGAATCACGTTACTCCAGTCGCGTGATAAATTGGTGGATTTTAGGTTAGATGAAAACGTGAACAGGAGTACTTTTTTTGTTTAAATGAAGGCACGTGTCGATAACGTTTAAATCTAGTTCAAAAGGCACCATACTTTAAAATCACTTAAAATACACTCCCAAAAGAGGTTACTTTTTAGTGTTTTGTTTATTGGGATGGTTTGGGGGAGGGGGGGGGGGGGGGAATCACCAACAAAAAAGGGCACCTACAAAGGAAAGTCTCAATGCCAAAAACAACAACATTGAACTCAATAAAATAGCGCCTACCATTTCATATTTCTAACTAAAACGTATAGGTGGATGGGTAATCATTAAATATCAAAGCCTAATAAGAAATAGCATGGGAGAGGGGATAAGTCGAAGGTGCATATCGTAAAACCTAGAGGGGCGTTATGAGCTCTGACCTCTGTAAGAAGTATTGAAAAAAAAAATGAAGGCGCTCATTTCGCTTACTCGATCCCTCCCTTAGCCAGTACATATCACTCATGGTATGATAACGAACAATGCATATCAAAACTGCAACGATATCCCATTTACTTCCTCGATATTGGTAATTGTCTGTGTTTGTGCGTGGGTGTAAGGCTTGTGTGTGTGGGGTTTGTGCATGAGTGTGCTTTGTGCATGTAATTTGAGGAGGTTTAACAGGAAGGGGACATCGTCTTTTGATCCTGAAATCCTGTTATGTATATCATGTGATCATGACGGATGCAATTTTGTAAATACATTATGAGTCATACAGTGTACATATACAGTAGTTGGTCCATTTAGTAGCAGGCCCATAATAACTTTGACTACACACGTTGCATTTTGAATGGGGAATTGTGCTGTTGTATGTGGGTAAATATTCGAATATTATGTTCACTTATAATCATATACTGTTAAGATAAAGGGAGAGCATCATCGTGAATGTTTGTCATTACAAAATATCACATGATTAGAGGGTGATACAAAGTGATAATGGCTGCCGCAGCAAAAGCTAGGTGTAATGTTTTCAAAGCTCTTTGGGAGCGCATGGAGACTTTATATTATGCGCTATCGAAATGGGCTATTATTATCATTATATCTGACAACTGTTTGATCTTGTCAGTTTTAGGATGACATTTTGAGCACGCAACAAATGACGCAAGTACTAGGCTTTTACACATATACATATACTATCATGTATTCATGCTTGGGAGCAATTAGCCTGGATAACGTTTTAATCTTATTTGACTTTTTGGTTCTGTTAATTACGTAATCGTCTTTTATCCAAAAGATCATGGGTTGAAACCAAATCGATGATACGATTATAATGCCCTTTTGGAAAGGCATGATTCCTCCATTTCACACATTTGGGATTTGAAAAACAGGTTCCCCTGGACGGTTGCACGTTACCAATCAACAAACCGTGCTTTCTCTATAATTATCCACAGGTCAGAATATATCAGAGACATGGCATTCTCTGAGCAGCAAGATACGTCTGGGCAACTGGTCCAGCTTTCAAGTGCGAACATCGGATTCGCCCTGGATCTTTATCAAACTCTTCAAGATGAACGGAGAGGTACAAATCTGTTCTTCTCCCCTCTCAGCATATCGACCGCTCTGGCTATGACACAGCTAGGAGCCCGAGGTGATACAGCTACTCAAATCGCTGATATCTTCCGTTTCAATCAGATAGATCAAGATAAACTTCATGGAACATTCAAAGAGCTAAACAACTTGCTTTACCAAACAGATTCCGGTTACAAACTTCATTCCGCCAACAGGCTCTATGGCAAATCTGGCTACAACTTTGTTCAGTCATTTGTTGAAGAAAGTGCTTCCTATTATGGAGCAGCCATAGAGGCGGTAAATAACTTTGCAGCTCCAATTACCACTCAATCAATCAATGATTGGGTCTCAAAGCAGACCGAGGATAAAATCAAAAACCTGATTGCTCCTGGAATCCTAAATGATCTAACACGCCTTGTCCTGGTGAATGCCATCTATTTCAAGGCGAACTGGCAATCAGAATTTTTAACCTTCGATACTACACAGGATACATTCAAGGTTTTCGATGAGAGAGAGAAGGTTCCGGTGAGTCTAATGATTCAAGAGGGAAGATTTGCTTTGGCTGTTGACAACACCAATGACTGTCTTGTGCTAGAGATGCCTTACAAAGGCCACAATATGAGTCTATTGATTGCTCTTCCCACCAAAGATGATGGCCTTGGTCAACTTGAGACGAAGCTCTCTGTGGACGTCCTGCAATCCTGGGACGCAGGGCTCAAATCAAGAAAAGTGAAGGTACTATTACCAAAGTTCAAACTAGAAGCAACATTCCCACTGAAGGAGGTTTTGAAACGAATGGGAATGCCCGACGCTTTTGATGAGGATAGGGCTAACTTCGAAGGCATCTCAGGTGATAGAGAGTTTCATATCTCTGCCGTCATCCACAAGGCCTCTGTTTATATCAATGAGAAAGGGAGTGAGGCAGCTGCTGCGACGGCTGTTATGATGTTGGACGGATGCCCTCTACCAAGTGAACGTAAGAAGCTGTTCCTGTTTCGAGCAGACCACCCATTTCTCTTCATGATTCGTCACCGGTCGACGAAATCGGTCCTTTTCATGGGACGAATGATGGATCCCTCCTAGATTTTGACCGCCATGTTCACGCTTTGAAAATAATTACATTTTCTGTTTTGGCAGTTTAATCGAATAAGCAAAATCAAAGACTTTCCACGCTTTAGAAGTAATCAAATTTGTCTGTTTTGGCAGTTTAATTGAATAAGCAAAATCAAAGACTTTCCACGCTTTAGAAGTAATCAAATTTGTCCGTTTTGGCAGTTTAATCGAATAAACAAGATCAAAGACTTTCCACGCTTTAGAAGTAATCAAATTTGTCTGTCTTGGAAGTTTAATCGAAGAAACAAAATCAAAGACACTTCACGCTTTAGAATTAATCAAATTCGTCTGTTTTGGCAGTTTAATCGAATAAACAAAATCAAAGACTTTTCGTTCATTACGACGTTTTCTGAGCCACGCAAATAGCCTAGTGTTGATTAATTACTTGATATATTCTATATTGTGTATACAATCAACAAATGCTTTTGGGATGAACTCTATAAGCTTGTTACCATTATCTATTACTTTTGAGAGATAAACTGTTTATTAATCAGGCCATGACGTCATAATATAAATGTTTCTCACGTTATGATACCCATTGTCTCTTTTTCTTCAGACGAGAATCAAGTAATCGTTGATGGATAGAGGTCACTGCTATCGTATGCCGATTACCACAGACTGGTTATATTGGTTTTAATTATTGCTATACAACACACTAAACATAGAACCCAAAATTTGAAATTATTCAACAGTATTAACAAGGGAAAATGCGTATGATTAAAAAATATGGGAGTGATTGATTTTTTTCTTCTTTTCAACAATGTATTGTAATTTAACAACTAAGGGGTTACATAACAAGCGCGTAGCAAACTATATTCTTGACATATTATTATTATTTTGGGTAAAAAGATTATTCCTATACGGTACTCCCTTTTTTACACATTAGCCAGCCCATGGAATTTTTATTGGAAGAATGCGTCATAAACAATAAAAACATAGGTACCTGACTAAAATTCAAAAGTAAATACCTGAAAATCCCATTTACATATTAAGTAGCTTTGTTGAACTTGACGGATACTTTATTGCTCATTTACAGAATTTATTATGTGTGCAAATATTTGAACGGTATGATCATATAACCTTGTACCCACTGACAAAAATTTAATCAAACAATATATCTTGAATATATATCATGGAAGAAGGAAAAACTCAGCGTGTACGTGTAGATATACCGAAACAAGCGATGTCCGTATGTTCATATAGGCTATTTTCATTTTTTAGTTTATGTGTTTGAATCGTCAAAATGTACCTGCGATTCTTCAGAATTCTGTCCTATAGGCTTTTACGAATCAGTCGGGTCACGGTCCCTGGAATCGGAAAACACATCCCATGAGGACCACAGTTGACCCTGATTCAACATACTTGGAGACACCGTACACAAGATTGTGGAAATTTACAGCCAGCACGCCGCCCCGCGATCCGGCTGTTTAGCAATAGCCTTGTAGGCATGTACAATTAAAGCATTATGAACTGAAAGAAATCGAATCAACTAAATTCAATTAATATCCGGTGGTGATCTAATGGTGAATATTTGAAAGATACGTTAATGTAATGTCATTGTTTATCTTGAATGTAATAAAATGTAGTTTTAAAATGGAAATCTTTCTCTACGAAATGTCTGTCTGTATCTTCCCCTTTCGATAAATAAAATGTAGTTTTGAAATGGAAATTTTCCTCTACAAAATGTCTGTCTGTATCTTCCCCTTTCAAAACCTAACACCATCATGAACATCGTCTCTGGCATTTTTTCTTGTTTCTTTTATATATTTCACCGGGTTTTATTTTCTATGTTTTCTTTTTCTCTTCATTTTCCCTCCATAAATGTCTTTTTTTCTCCAGTGACCCACTAGCTGGATATAGGACTTTCACTATAACTGCATCTAAATATTGGAATAGACTACCCTTAATATTCAGGCAATCACCATTTGTCCCTTCATTAAAAAAGGGACTTAAAACATTTCTCTTTTGTAATCCAGATTTTTAGGATTCTGTAAGTTTTCATTTTCATTTTCTGTAGAATTCTTCTTGTTGTAAGCACTGTTGGGGCACACCTAAAACAAGAGGAAGGAATGAAAAAAGACACTTATGAGAATGGGAAATGGGCACCCATCATAGATTGATAGGGGCATTTATAAGAATTAAAAAGGGGCACTTATATAAAAGTAAAATGTACATTAGTTGAAAAAGGGGCACCCATCAGATTTTAATAGGGGCATTTATTGGAGATGAAAGGGGGCTTTTATGAAAAGGGGGAAGTAGCTCTTATTAATAAGAAAAGAGGCACATTTTAAAATAAAAGGTGCACTTATCAGAGATGAAAATTGGTAATCATGAGAAGGGGTAGGGGCACTTATAAGAAGGAAAATGAGCATTTATTAGAAAGGTAAAGGGGCATGTGTCAAAAATAAAAGGGGCAGTTATTAGAGGTGGAAATATTGTGCTCTACTCCATTGAGTAGTTGATTTATTGATATTATTCCTTCGGATTTTTTGGTTATAAACAGCCTTCTGAGTGCAACATGTGACTGCTGGAGAAGAAATGGGCCACCCGTAACCGATATGGTCCTTCTCCCCGACCAAGTATTGTACTCAGAAACCGAGAGAAATGTATACAAGTCATCAAGAAGACACAATACGGTATTTAGAATCCATGAATAGTCGAAGAGAAGCAAAATAGAAGACTGTGAAAGTGTAAACGTGAATGTTTCTAGGAAAAATGTCGACTTGTGAATTTCAAAAAGTTTAAAAAATAAACGTCGTCGTATTTATTAATAGTATTATTCAAATAACATGCCAGAGAAATTGAACTCAATAAAATAGTGCCTCCCATTTCATATTTCTCACTGAAACGTATTGGTGAATGGGTAAATCATTAACTATCAAAGCCTAATAAGAAATAGCATGAGAGAGTGGATAAGTTGAAGGTGCACATCGTAAAACCTAGAGGTGCGATATGAACTCTGACCTCTGTAAGCAGTATTGAGGAAAAAACATGAAGGCTCTCATTTCGCTTACTCGAACCCTCTCTCAGCCAGTACATATCGCGCATGGTATGATAACGAACAAAGCATATAAAAACTGCAACAATATCCAATTTTCTTCCTCGATATTGGTAATTGTCTGTATTTGTGCGTGGGTGGGAGGTTTCTGTGTGATTAGTGCGTGTATTTTTTGGCGGTTTGCCAGGAAGGGGACACGGTCCCGTGATCCTGAGATCCTGTAATCATGTGCAGGGGCGGCGATTTCTTTTCATGACCGGGGGGGGGGGGGGGGAACGAAATGCGGGGAACGAGGGAAGAGTGACGTAATGAGCAAAAACTTTTTTTTTTTGGGGGGGGGGGGAGAAAAAAAATCCGCATCACCACCGCTCTTACATTTTACTTGCAGGCCCCGCGGAACGTTTTTCAAAGTTGGGGGGGGGGGGGGGGGGGGGGGGGGGGGGGGGGGGGGATCTAAGTATTTTCGATCAGATAGAGCAAATCAAGTGGGACGTAAATTAGCGCGGGCTCTAGGGGCAAAGCCCCGGCGGGGTCAACGGGCGGAGCCCCATGGAGCTCAGAATTTTTAGCCCTTTAATTAGGGTCAGATCAGCATATTTTGATACCTTATTTGTGACACTTGCATGCAGGTCACTAATCGGAATGGGGTCCAGGGGGCGAAGGTCCCTTGGCGGGATCTAGGGGGCAGAGCTCTCGGAAGCTCAGGGTTTCAGGCTTTTGAATATGGTCAGATGAGCACCCGGTGGACCGCTTAGGGCACTGGTTGGGTCCAGGGAGCGGAGCCCCCAGAAGCTCAGGGAAAATCATGCCATTTCAGCAACATTTGTAAATAAGTCACTGGTATCGAATTAGAAATAAACCACGTTTAAATGTTATCGGGTGGGGAGGGGGGGGGGGGGGGGGGTAACTGCCCCAAGCCCGAGTGAGTGAGCATAGTGAACGAGAGGGGTGAAGGTGACGAAAGTGACTACCCCCTCACAGGTTTTGAAGTTTTTGTATTACAAAATTATATTCCTAGGGTATGAAAACAAACATTATATTTTTTTCACACTTCACCTTTTTACAATATTTACATTTTGAAGGATATTATGCGAGGGAGCATAGCTCCCGAGCTAGAAGATTTTTGTATTTGTATTTGTCTAAACGCCGCACTCTTGGGCCCTCCAAAGCCCAATAGCAGTCTTTAGTCAGTATTTGCTGTACATTATTTTTTAGCACTTTTTCAAATTTTCCGGGGGGGGGGGACGACCCCCCTACAAAAATTGAGGGGGGGGGGGGGGACGTGTTCCCCCTCCCCCCGGGATCGCCGCCCCTGATCATGTGAACATGTGATCATGACGGATGCAATTTTGTAACTATATTATGAGTCGTACATGTAGTTGGGCCATTTAGTAGGAGGCCTATAATAACTTTGACTACACACGTTGCATTTTGAAGTGAGTTGTGCTGTTGTATGTGGGTAAATATACGAATATTATGTTCACTTATAATAATATACTGTTAAGATAAAGGGAGAGCATCATCGTGAATGTTTGTCATTACAAAATAGCACATGATTAGAGGGTGATAAAAAGTGATAATGGCTGCCGCAGCAAAAGCTAGGTGTATAATGTTTGCAAAGCTCTTTGGAAGCGCTTGGAGACTTTATATCATAATGTGTTATGCGCTATCGAACGGGCTATTATTATCATTATATCTGACAACTGTTTGATCTTGTCAGTTTTAGGATGAAATTTTGAGCACGCAACAAATGACGCAAGTACTAGGATTTTACACATATACTATAATATCATGTATTTATGTTTGGGAGCAATTAATTAGCCTGGATAACGTTTTTATCTTACTTGACTTCTTGGTTCTGTTAATGACGTAATCGTCTTTTATCCAAAAGATCATGGGTTGAAACCAAATCGATGATACGATTATAATGCCCTTTTGGAAAGGCATGATTCCTCAATTTCACACTTTTGGGATTTGAAAAACGGGTCCCCCTGGACGGTTGCATGCCTACTAATCAACAAACCGTGCTTTCTCTGTAATTATCCACAGGTCAGAATATATCAAAGACATGGCATTCTCTAAGCAGCAAGATACGTCTGGGCAACTGGTCCAGCTTTCAAGTGCGAACATCGGATTCGCCCTGGATCTTTATCAAACTCTTCAAGATGAACGGAGAGGTACAAATCTGTTCTTCTCCCCTCTCAGCATATCGACCGCCCTGGCTATGACACAGCTAGGAGCCCGAGGTGATACAGCAACTCAAATCGCTGATGTCTTCCGTTTCAATCAGGTAGACCAAGATCAACTTCATGGAACATTCAAAGAGCTAAACAACTTGCTTTACCAAACAGATTCCGGTTACAAACTTCATTCCGCCAACAGGCTCTATGGCAAATACTTCGTTCAGTCATTTCTTGATGAAAGTGCTTCCTATTATGGAGGAGCCATAGAGGCAGTAAATAACTTTGCAGCTCCAACTGCCACTCAATCAATCAATGATTGGGTTTCAAAGCAGACCGGAGATAAAATCAAAAACCTGATTGCTCCAGGAATCCTAAATGATCTCACACGCCTTGTCTTGGTGAATGCCATCTATTTCAAGGCGAACTGGAAAACAGAATTTCGTGCCAAAAATACTACAAGGATAAATTCAAGGTTTTCGATATGAGAAAGAAGGTTTTCAAGAGAAAGAAGGTTCCGGTTAGTCTTATGAGTCTAAAGAGTAGATTTTATTTGGCTGTTGACAAAACCAATGACTGTCTTGTGTTAGAGATGCCCTATGAAGAAAACAATCTGAGTCTATTGATTGCTCTTCCCACCAAAGATGATAGCCTTGGTCAACTTGAGACGAAGCTCTCTGTGGACGTCCTGCAATCCTGGGACGCAGGGCTCGAATGGAGAGAAGTGGACGTACTATTACCAAAGTTCAAACTAGAAGCAACATACCAACTGAAGGAGGTTTTGCAACGAATGGGAATGCCCGACGCTTTTGATGAGGATAGGGCTAACTTCGAAGGCATCTCAGGTGATAGAGAGTTACACATCTCTGCCGTCATCCACAAGGCCTTTGTTGATATCAATGAGGAAGGGAGTGAGGCAGCTGCTGCAACGGCTGATGAGATGAGGTATGTGAGCTATTCAATTCCACAAGGAGAACGTGAGAAGCCGATCCTGTTTCGAGCAGACCACCCATTTCTCTTCATGATTCGTCACCGGACGACGAAATCGGTCCTTTTCATGGGACGAATGATGGATCCCTCCTAGATTTTGATCGTCCACGCTTTGATAAATAATTACATTTGTCTGTTTTCGCAGTTTACTCCAATAAACAAAATCAAAGACTTTTCGTTCATTACGATGTTTTCTGAGCCACGCAAATAGCTTAGTGTTGATTAATTCCTTTGTTTATTCTATAGTGTGCATGCAATCAACTCTATAAGCTTGTAAACATAATCTATTACTTTGGAGAGATAAACTGTTTATTAATCATGCCATGACGTCATAATATAAATGTTTCTTACGTTATGATACCCATTGTCTCTTTTTCTTCAGACGAGAATCAAGTAATAGTTGATGGGTAGAGGTCACTGCTATCGTATGCCGATTACCACAGACTGGTTATATTGGTTTTAATTATTGCTATACAACACACTAAACAAAGAACCCAAAATTTGAAATTATCCAACAGTATTAAGAAGGGCAAATGCATAGGATAAAAAAAATATGCGAGTGATTGAAAAATAAATATATACAACAATGTATTGTAATTTAACAACTAAGGGGTTACATAACAAGCGCATAGCAAACTATATTCTTGAAATATTATTATTATTTTGGGTAAAAAGATTATTCATATACGGTTCTCCCTTTTTTACATATTAGCCAGCCCATGGAATTTTTATTAGAAGAATGCGTCATAAAAAAATAAAAACATAGGTACCTGACTAAAATTCTAAAGTAAATACCGGAAATCTCATTTACATATTAAGTAGCTTTGTTGAACTTGACGGATACTTTATTGCTCATTTACAGAATGTATTATGTGTGTAAATATTTGAACGGTATGATCATATAACCTTGTGCCCACTGACAAAAATGGAATCAAACTATATATATCTTGAATATATATGGAAAAATGAACAACTCAGCGTGTACGTGTAGATATACCGAAACAAACGATGTCCGTATGTTCATAAAGCTCCGTTTTAGATGTAGGTATATTTACCAATTAATAATAACAGATTCAAAGAAGCTGTTAATGAAATTAGTATTGAATGCCCATGTTGTGATATGCATGAGTCTGGTGATGAATTCTATTATGTTTTTGTATGCCCTTTTTTCTGAAAGGAAAGAGAGTTATATTTAGGTCGCAAAGTAATAGTTAAACGCCCTTGCACATCACACATGTTGAATTTATTTTTATGTTCCGGTATAGGACAGCTGAAGAAATTAGTACTCTTCTTAAGGATAATAATGTCATATTTTGCTGGTCTATATACAGGTAAATCTGAACAATCCAATCATATGTCACCCATAAAAAGGAATGTTACAACCCGAAGTGGTAGGTTAATTAAGCAACCAACAATTCTTGATCTGTAGTACAGTCTTTCTTTAGGTCAAGTATAGTTTTGATGGTTTGTTTGTTCTTTTGTTCATTTTGTTGTTAGTATACTTTTTGTTTTTGTTTGTCTTATTACATTATATTCCATTATGTTTTTGTTTGTCCAATGGATGATTATGCCGTATTTTGTTAGTCTGCATAAATCTTAACAATCCAATCACAACTTACTTACATGTACAAAAATGAAACTTATAATTTCTTATATAGTTAAGACAATAATGTATTTTTTTAAAATAATTTTTTGTTTTGATCTTTCTTTTTCTTCGTGTTTGTATTTAGATTGTTCATGTGGTATTCTCCACTTTTCATGTATGCTTGCCATATTGTATAATATTGTATTTATGTTTAGCATAGGCTAGGTTTAGATCATTCCTATTTATCGTTATACTTTTATATTGTTGTTTTGTTGTATTCTGTATTCTTTGTATTATTAAGCTTTGTTTGTATTCTTTATTATGTATCATTATCATGACATGTACATGTGTTGTACTCTCATACCCCAGACGGGGGTCGAATGAGTCAATAAATTCTATTCTATTCGTATATGTTCATTTATTAGTTTATGTGTTTGAATCGTCAAAATGTACCTGCGAGTCTTCAGAATTCTGTCCTATAGGCTTTTACGAATCAGTCGGGTCACAGCGCCTGGAATCGGGAAACACATCCCATGAGGACCACAGTTGCCCCGGATTCAACATACTTGAAGACACCGTACACAAGATTGTGGTAATTTTCGGCCAGCACGCTGCCCCGTGATCCGGCTGTTTAGCAATAGCCTTGTAGGCATGTACAATTAAAGCATTATGAACTGAAAGAAATCGAATCAACTGAATTCAATTAATATCCGGTGGCTCTACTGGAGAATATTTGAAAGATATTTTAATGTAATATCATCGTTTATCTTGAATCTAATAAAATGTAGTTTTAAAATGGAAATTTTTCTGTGCAAAATGTTTGCCTGTATCTTCCCCTTTCGAAACCTAACACCACGTCGACTCTGGCATTCTTTCTTGTTTCTTTTATTTACTGTATTTCAACGGTTTTTTTCTATGTTTTCTTTTTCTCTTCATTTTCCCTCCATAAATGTCTTTTTTCCCTCTTAATATTTCACTTAAGCTATTCATTTGTATGCATTTGGCGAGGATCGTAGGCAGGGGCGGCGGATCGACTTCCATGGTTTGGGGGAGGGGGGGGGGGGGAGCACCAACAAAAAAGGGCACCTTCAAAGGAAAGTCTCAAAGCATTACACCGTTTTACGGTTAGGGGCGCCATTTTAATTGGCTTTGAAAACAAAGCCAATGACCTAGAGGTCATGTATTTATGCGTAAATTAAGATTGCGCCCATGCAAATTATGATGGTATCACTGCCTACGCGCTGCGTTGTGCGCGCACATCATCATTTGCATGGGCGCAATCTTAATTTACGCATACATACCACTGACCTCAGGTTATTGGCTTTGTTTCAAAGCCAATTATATGTCTGCGCATGCGCAATGATGTAACCGTAAACTGGTGTATTGAAATTGAACTCAATAAAATAGTATAGTATTAATGACTGCTTTGAGAGAAATAGTTGTTTTTATTCGTTCAAGGGAAGGTTAGAATTGTGCTATTGCCCGAGGCGTGCCGAGGGCAATAGCCCAACTGTAACCTTCCCGAGAGCGTACAAAAACAACTATTTCTCGAATATTAAAGCAGTCATTAATACTTTTATATGCCAAAAAAAAATGAGTCGACTTGGGACACCACAATATCTAGTTAATCTGCACGGTTGTTTTTTATGTAGTATGAGTAGACTAAAAAATAAAAAATAATTTTTTTTTGTCGAGGATTCGATCTCTTGCGCACCAACGATGATGTGACTAAAAGCACGGCCTTAGACCGCTCAGCCATCGCGCACTGATACCAATTCTATCAGTTTTCTCTGATATATACATTAAAATGGATTGAAAACGGCTTCGCGTGCTGGATGCTTCGCGGCAGCTCTATTAAACGGGCCCTTCTTTTACTTTTGCAATGCACTGACACGAACTTAAATTAAGATCTATCGGCAGATGTTGTTTTTGGAAGTATATTTTCGTCTTCATGTCAACAATGCAAGATAAAATTGTCGGTAAGATCGATCGAGATTCAATTGTATTGAAATTACCGACCAATTCATCGCACACGTACGGTATCCTCGATCGCTCAGACCATTTTTTTAACATGTAAACCTATGGGTATTTCACCGAGACTAAACTTTTTTCCCGGTAACCATGGTTACTGGGATTTTAGATCTATTTTTTAGAACTATTACATGGGTTTGGAATTTTACCGGGAATTTTACAGGAATAGTTAAAGTTTATGAATGCAATTTCGACCAATCAGATGGCTGGATTTCTTAAGTGAGGTATATAATGCCTACCATTTCATATTTCTCACTGAAACGTATTGGTGAATGGGTAATCATTAACTATCAAAGCCTAATAAGAAATAGCATGAGAGAGGGGATAAGTTGAAGGTGCACATCGTAAAACCTAGAGGGGCGATATATGAGCTCTGACCTCTGTAAGCAGTATTGAGGAAAAAAAATGAAGGCTCTCATTTCGCTCACTCAAACCCTCCCTTAGCTAGTACATTATCACGCATGGTGTGATAACGAACAATGACAGGAAGGGGACATGGTCGTTTGATCTTGACATCCTGTTATGTATATCATGTGATCATGACGGATGCAATTTTGTAAATATATTATGAGTCGTACATGTAGTTGGGCCATTTAGTAGTCGGCCTATAATAACTTTGACTACACACGTTGCATTTTGAAGTGGAATTGTGCTGTTGTATGTGGGTAAATATTCGAATATTATGTTCACTTATAATAATATACTGTTAAGATATTAAGGGAGAGCATCATCGTGAATGTTTGTCATTACAAAATATCATATGATTAGATCAGAGGGTGATACAAAGTGATAATGGCTGCCGCAGCAAAAGCTAGGTGTAATGTTTTCAAAGCTCTTTGGGAGTGCATGGAGACTTTATATCATAATGTGTTATGCGCTATACAAGAACGGGTTTTTATTATCATTATATCTGACAACTGTTTGATCTTGTCAGTTTTAGGATGAAATTTTGAGCACGCAACAAATGACGCAAGTACTAGGCTTTTACACACATACATATAATATCATGTATTTATGCTTGAGAGAAATTAGCCTGGATAACGTTTTTATTTTATTTGACTTCTTGGTTCTCTTAATAACATAATCGTCTTTACAATTATAATGCCCTTTTGGAAAGGCATGATTCCTCAATTTCACACTTTGGGAATTTGGAAAAACGGGTCCCCCTGGACGGTTGCATGCTTACTAATCAACAAACCGTGCTTTCTCTATAATTATCCACAGGTCAGAATATATCAGAGACATGGCATTCTCTAAGCAGCAAGATACGTCTGGGCAGCTGATGCAGCTTTCAAGTGCTAACATCGGATTCGCCCTGGATCTTTATCAAACTCTTCAAGATGAACGGAGAGGTAAAAATCTGTTCTTCTCCCCTCTCAGCATATCGACCGCTCTGGCTATGACACAGCTAGGAGCCCGAGGTGATACAGCAACTCAAATCGCTGATGTCTTCCGTTTCAATCAGACAGACCAAGATCAACTTCATGGAACATTCAAAGAACTAAACAACTTGCTTTACCAAACAGATTCCGGTTACAAACTTCATTCCGCCAACAGGCTCTATGGCAAATCTGGCTACAACTTCGTTCAGTCATTTCTTGAAGGAACTGTTTTCTATTATGGAGCAGCCATTGAGGCGGTAAATGACTTTGCATCTCCAATTGCCACTCAATCAATCAATGATTGGGTCTCAAAGCAGACCGAGGGTAAAATAAAAAACTTGATTGCTCCCGGAACCCTAAATGATCTCACACGCCTTGTCCTGGTGAATGCCATTTATTTCAAGGCGAACTGGAAATCTAAATTTTATGCCGAAAATACTACTCATGATACATGTACATTCAAGGTTTTCGATGAGAGGTATAAGGTTCCGGTGAGTCTTATGAGTCAAAAGGGAAGATTTGCTTTGACTGTTGACAACACAAATGACTGTCTTGTGCTAGAGCTGCCTTATGAAAGCCACAATCTGAGTCTATTGATTGCTCTTCCCACCAAAGATGATGGCCTTGGTCAACTTGAGACGAAGCTCTCTGTGGACGTCCTGCAATCCTGGGACGTAGGGCTCAAATCAAGAAGAGTGAACGTGCTATTACCAAAGTTCAAACTAGAAGCAACATTCCAACTGAAGGAGGTTTTGAAACGAATGGGAATGCCCGACGCTTTTGATGAGGATAGGGCTAACTTCAAAGGCATCTCAAGTGAAGAAAGAGAGTTTTACATCTCTGCCGTCATCCACAAGGCCTTTATTAATGTCAATGAGGAAGGGAGTGAGGCAGCTGCTGCAACGGCTTTTGTGATGGCAGGAGGCGGTCCACGAATAGAACGTGAGAAGCCGATCCTGTTTCGAGCAGACCACCCATTTCTCTTCATGATTCGTCACCGGTCGACGAAATCGGTCCTTTTCATGGGGCGAATGATGGATCCATCCTAGATTTTGACCGCCATGTCCACGCTTTAAAAATTATTACATTTTCTGTTTTGGCAGTTTAATCGAATAAGCAAAATCAAAGACTTTCCACGCCTTAGAAGTAATCAAATTTGTCCGTTTTGGCAGTTTAATCGAATAAACAAAATCAAAGACTTTCCACGCTTTAAAATTAATCAAATTTGTCTGTTTGGGCAGTTTAATCGAAGAAACAAAATCAAAGACACTTCACGCTTTAGAATTAATCAAATTTGTCTGCTTTGGCAGTTTACTCGAATAAACAAAATCAAAGACACTTCACGCTTTAAAAATTATTACATTTTCTGTTTTGGCAGTTTAATCGAATAAGCAAAATCAAAGACTTTCCACGCCTTAGAAGTAATCAAATTTGTCCGTTTTGGCAGTTTAATCGAATAAACAAAATCAAAGACTTTCCACGCTTTAAAATTAATCAAATTTGTCTGTTTGGGCAGTTTAATCGAAGAAACAAAATCAAAGACACTTCACGCTTTAGAATTAATCAAATTTGTCTGCTTTGGCAGTTTACTCGAATAAACAAAATCAAAGACTTTTCGTTCATTTCGACGTTTTCTGAGTCACGCGAATAGCCTAGTGTTGATTAATTACTTGATATATTCTATATTGTGTATACAATCAACAAATGCTTTTGGGATGAACTCTATAAGCTTGTTTCCATTATCTATTCCTTTTGAGAGATAAACTGTTTATTAATCAGGCCATGACGTCATAATATAAATGTTTCTTACGTTATGATACCCATTGTCTCTTTTTCTTCAGACGAGAATCAAGTAATCGTTGATGGGTAGAGGTCACTGCTATCGTATGCCGATTACCACAGACTGGTTATATTGGTTTTAATTATTGCTATACAACACTAAACATAGAACCCCACATTTGAAATTATCCAACAGTATTAACAAGGGCAAATGCATAGGATAAAAAAATATGCGAGTGATTGAAAAATAAATATATACAACAATGTATTGTAATTTAACAACTAAGGGGTTACATAACAAGCGCATAGCAAACTATATTCTTGACATATTATTATTATTTTGGGTAAAAAGATTATTCATATACGGTTCTCCCTTTTTTACATATTAGCCAGCCCATGGAATTTTTATTGAAAGAATGCGTCATAAAAAAATAAAAAAGTAGGTACCTGACTAAAATTCAAAAGTAAATACCTGAAAATCTCATTTACATATTAAGTAGCTTTGTTGAACTTGACGGATACTTTATTGTTCATTTACAGAATTTATTATGTGTGTAAATATTTGAACGGTATGCCGGATGATATAACCTTGTGCCCACTGACAAAAACTGAATCAAACTATATATATCTTGAATATATATATCATGGAAAAATGAAAAACTTAGCGTGTACGTGTAGATATACCGAAACAAACGATGTCCGTATGTCCATAATGCTTCATATAGGCTTTGTTCATTTTTTAGTTTATGTGTTTGAATCGTCAAAATGTACCTGCGAGTCTTCAGAATTCTGTCCTATAGGCTTTTACGAATCAGTCGGGTCACGACGCCTGGAATCGGGAAACGAATCCCATTAGGACTACAGTTGCCCCGGATTCAACATACTTGAAGACACCGTACAAAAGATTGTGGAATTTACAGCCAGCACGCCGCCCCGCGATCCGGCTGTTTAGCAATAGCCTTGTAGGCATGTACAATTGAAGCATTATGAACTGAAAGAAATCGAATCAACTGAATTCAATTAATATCCGGTGGCTCTACTGGAGAATATTTGAAAGATATTTTAATGTAATATCATTGTTTATCTTGAATCTAATAAAATGTAGTTTTAAAATGGAAATTTTTCTGTGCAAAATGTTTGTCTGTATCTTCCCCTTTCGAAACCTAACACCACATCGTCTCTGGCATTCTTTCCTGTTTCTTTTATATATTTCAATGGGTTTTTTTTTCTTTGCTTTCTTTTTCTCTTCATTTTCCCTCCATAAATGTCTTTTTCCCTCTTAATATTTCACTCAAGCTATTCATTTGTATGCATTTGGTGAGGATCGTAGGCAGGGGCGGCGGATCGACTTCCATGGTTTGGGGGAGGGGGGGGGGAGCACCAACAAAAAAGGGAACCTACAAAGAAAAGTCTCAAAGCCAAAAACAACAACATAGAACTCAATAAATAGCGCCTACCATCTCATATTTCTAACTAAAACGTATTGGTGGATGGGTAATCATTAACTATATATTACATATTAAGTAGCTTTGTTGAATTCGATACTTTATTGGTCATTATACAGAATGTATAACGTGTGTAATTATTTGAAAGGTATGATCATTGAACCTAGTACCCACTGACAAAAATTGAATCAAATTATATACATTTTGTATCTTGCATATCATATCATGGAAGGATGAAAACTCAGCGTGTACGTGTAGATATACCGAAACAAACGATGGCCATAATGTTCATAATGCTTCATATAATTATGTTCATTTACTAGTTTATGTGTTTGAATCGTCAAGATGTACCTGCGAGTCTTAAGAATTCTGTCCTATAGGCTTTTACGAATCAGTCGGGTCACGGCGCCTGGAATCGGGAAACACATCCCATGAGGACCAAAGTTGCCCTGGATTCAACATCCTCGAAGACACCCACCGTACAAAAGATTGTGGTAATTTTCGGCCAGCACGCCGCCCCGCGATCCGGCTGTTTAGCAAAAGCCTTATAGGTATGTACAATATGCATAATGAACTGAAAGAAATCGAATCAACTGAATTCAATTAATATCCGGTGGCTCTACTGGTGAATATTTGAAAGATACTTTAATGTAATGTCATTGTTTATCTTGAATCTAATAAAATGTAGTTTTAAAATGGAATTTTTTCTCTACAAAAAATAATGTCTGTCTGTATCTTCCCCTTTCAAAACCTAACACCACATCGTCTCTGGTATTCTTTCTTGTTTCTTTTATATACTCTATTTCAACGGTTTTTTTCTGTGTTTTCTTTTTCTCTTCATTTTCCCTCCATAAATGTCTTTTTTCCCTCTTAATATTTCACTCAAGCTATTCATTTGTATGCATTTGGCGAGGATCGTAGGCAGGGGCGGCGGACCGACTTCCATGGTTTGGGGGAGGGGGGGGGGGGGAAGCACCAACAAAAAATGGCACCTTCAAAGGAAAGTTTCAAAGCATTACACCAGTTTATGGTTAGGGGCACCATTTTAATAGGCTTTGAAAACAAAGCCAATGACCTAGAGGTGATGTATTTATGCGTAAATTAAAATTGCGCCCATATCACTGACCTCAGGTCATTGGCTTTGTCTCAAAGCCAATTACATGTCTGCGCATGCGCACTGATGTAACCGTAAACTGGTGTATTGAAATTGAAGTCAATAAAATAGTGCCTACCATTTCATATTTCTCACTGAAACGTATTGGTGAATGGGTAATCATTAACTATCAAAGCCTAATAAGAAATAGCTTGAGAGAGGGGATAAGTTGAAAGTGCACATCGTAAAACCTAGTTGTGCGATATGAGCTCTGACCTCTGTAAGCAGTATTGAGGAGAAAAATGAAGGCTCTCACTTCGCTCACTCAAACCCTCCCTTAGCTAGTACATTATCACTCATGGTATGATAACGAACAATGACAGGAAGGGGACATGGTCGTTTGATCCTGACATCCTTTTATGTATATCATGTGATCATGACGAATGAAATTTTGTAAATATATTATGAGTCGTACATGTAGTTGGGCCATTTAGTAGTCGGCCTATAATAACTTTGACTACACACGTTGCATTTTGAAGTGAGTTGTGCTGTTGTATGTGGGTAAATACACGAATATTATGTTCACTTATAATAATATACTGTTAAGATAAAGGGAGAGCATCATCGTGAATGTTTGTCATTACAAAATATCATATGATTAGAGGGTGATACAAAGTGATAACGGCTGCCGCAGCAAAAGCTAGGTGTAATGTTTGCAAAGCTCTTTGGAAGCGCTTGGAGACTTTATATCATAATGTGTTATGCGCTATACAAGAACGGGCTATCATTATCATTATATCTGACAATAATGTTTGATCTTGTCAGCTTTAGGATGAAATTTTGAGCACGCAACAAATGACGCAAGTACTAGGCTTTAACACATATACATCATGTATTCATGCTTTGGAGCAATTAGCCTGGACAACGTTTTTATCTTAATAGACTTCTTGGTTCTGTTAATTACGTAATCGTCTTTAATCCAAAAGATCATGGGTTGAAACCAAATCGATTATACGATTATAATGCCCTTTTGGAAAGGCATGATTCCTCAATTTCACACTTTTGGGATTTGAAAAAGCAGGTTCCCCTGGACGGTTGCACGTTACCAATCAACAAACCGTGCTTTCTCCATAATTATCCACAGGTCAGAATATATCAGAGACATGGCATTCTCTAAGCAGCAAGATACATCACTGGGAAACTGGTCCAGCTTTCAAATGCGAACATCGGATTCGCCCTGGATCTTTATCAAACTCTTCAAGATGAACGGAGAGGTAAAAATCTGTTCTTCTCCCCTCTCAGCATATCGACCGCTCTGGCTATGACACAGCTAGGAGCCCGAGGTGATACAGCAACTCAAATCGCTGATGTCTTCCGTTTCAATCAGATAGACCAAGATCAACTTCATGGAACACTCAAAGAGCTAAACAACTTGCTTTACCAAACAAATTACGATTCCCAAATTCATTGCGCCTACAGGCTATATGGCAAATCTGGCTATAACTTCGTTCAGTCATTTCTTGAAGGAACTGCTTCCTATTATGGAGCAGCCATAGAGGCGGTAAATAACTTTGAAGCTCCAATTGCCACTCAATCAATCAATGATTGGGTTTCAAAGCAGACCGAGGATAAAATAAAAAACCTGATTGCTCCTGGAATCCTAAATGATCTCACACGCCTTGTCCTGGTGAATGCCATTTATTTCAAGGCGAACTGGAAATCAACATTTCGTGCCCACAATACTAAAAAGGATAAATTCAAGGTTTTCGATATGAGAAAGAAGGTTTTCAAGAGAAAGAAGGTTCCGGTGAGTCTTATGAGTCTAAAGGGAAGATTTGATTTGGCTGTTGACAAAACCAATGACTGTCTTGTGCTAGAGCTGCCTTATGAAGGCCACAATCTGAGTCTATTGATTGCTCTTCCCACCAAAGATGATGGCCTTGGTCAACTTGAGACGAAGCTCTCTGTGGACGTCCTGCAATCCTGGGACGCAGGGCTCGAATGGAGAGAAGTGAACGTACTATTACCAAAGTTCAAACTAGAAGCAACATTCCAACTGAAGGAGGTTTTGCAACGAATGGGAATGCCCGACGCTTTTGATGAGGATAGGGCTAACTTCGAAGGCATCTCAGGAGATAGAGAGTTTCACATCTCTGCCGTCATCCACAAGGCCTTCGTTGATATCAATGAGGAAGGGAGTGAGGCAGCTGCTGCAACGGCTTTTGGGATGAATGCGATGATGTCACTCTGTCCACCAGGAGAACGTGAGAAGCCGATCCTGTTTCGAGCAGACCACCCATTTCTCTTCATGATTCGTCACCCGTCGACGAAATCGGTCCTTTTCATGGGACGAATGATGGATCCCTCATACATTTTGACCCCCATGTCCACGCTATAAAAATAATTACATTTTCTGTTTTGGCAGTTTAATCGAATTAACAAAATCAAAGACTTTTCGTTCATTACGATGTTTTCTGAGCCACGCAAATAGCATAGTATTGATTAATTCCTTTGTTTATTCTACAGTGTGCATGCAATCAACTCTATAAGCTTGTAAACATAATCTATTACTTTGGAGAGATAAACTGTTTATTAATCAGGCCATGACGTCATAATATAAATGTTTCTTACGTTTTGATACCCATGTTTCTTTTTCTTCAGACGAGAATCAAGTAATAGTTGATGGGTAGAGGTCACTGCTATCGTATGCCGATTACCACAGACTGGTTATATTGGTTTTAATTATTGCTATACAACACACTAAACATAGAACCCAAAATTTGAAGTTATTCAACAGTATTAACAAAGACAAATGCATAGGATAAAAAAATATGCGAGTGTTTGAAGAACAAAAAAACTACAACAATGTATTGTAATTTTACAAGGGTTACATAACAAACGCATAGCAAACTATATTCTTGACATATTATTATTTTGGGTATAAAGATTATTCATAAACGGTACTCCCTTTTTTACACATTAGCCAGCCCATGGAATTTTTATTGGAAGAATGCGTCATAAAAAATAAAAAGTAGGTACCTGACTAAAATTCAAAAGTAAATATCTGAAAATCCCATTTACATATTAAGTAGCTTTGTTGAACTTGACGGATACTTTATTGCTCATTTACAGAACTTATTATGTGTGTAAATATTTTAACGGTATGCCGGATGATATAACCTTGTGCCCACTGACAAAAATTGAATCAAACTATATATATATCTTGATTATATATCATGGAAAATGAAAAACTCGGCGTGTACGTGTAGATATACCGAAACAAACGATGTCCATATGTTCATAATGCTTCATATAGGCTATGTTCATTTTTTTAGTTTATGTGTTTGAATCGTCAAAATGTACCTGCGAGTCTTCAGAATTCTGTCCTATAGGCTTTTACGAATCAGTCGGGTCACGGCGCCTGGAATCGGGAAACAAATCCCATGAGGACCAAAGTTGCCCCGGATTTAACATCCTCGAAGACACCCACCGTACAAAAGATTGTGGTAATTTTCGGCCAGCACGCCGCCCCGCGATCCGGCTGTTTAGCAATAGCCTCGTAGGCACGTACAATTAAAGCA